GGCGACGATAAGGGCGAGGCGCCAGGGGGGAAGGAGGAGGATGAGGGGAGGAGGAAGAGCTGGAGGAGGAGGAGGAGGTGGAGGAGGAGGAGGAAGAGGAGGAGGAGGAGGAGGAGGAGGAGGAGGAGGAGGAGGAAGGAAGGAGGAGGAGGAGGAGGAGGAGGAGGAGGGAGGAGGAGAGGGGAGGAGGAGGAGTGAGGAGGAGGGGGAGGGAGGAGGAGGAGGAGGAGGAGGAGGAGGAGAGGGGGCGCACCCAGAGATCCGACGCTCCAAAAAAATTGGGAGCGGCCAGCCTTCGGCCATTTTTGACCTCCAGGGGCCTTCGCCATCCACGCATCCCAAAACATGGAGCGCCGAATATCTGGGCATGTGTCCAGGAGGCGCCGATACATAGGGGGCGTTCGTTAAGGAACGTGCTCAGGAGGCTGCAGAATCTGGAGGATTCCCTATCTGATGAGGGCGGCGGTGGTATCCATGGCCGATCCACGATTCCCTAGGATATTAGCCCCTTATCGTCGCCACCGAGAGGGTGGGGTCAGAGGATCGCGCCGTATCGCCTATGCATCGACGATGCGACTCGATGTGGAGCCCGTTTTTCTCTCCACGCCGACGTCGGCCGATGCATCGCCGACGTCGCCGATGCATGGCTGATGCGTCGCCGATGCATCGCCGATGCAGCGCCGATACATCGGCGATGCGGTGCAATCCTCCGACCCCATCTACACGGACCCCATTTAGGAGACCTCCAACATCTCGTCGACTACAAAGGGTGTGGTTACGCAAAGGGGGGTGCGATCCGCGTCGGCTGCTGCTTGGGTGGCACCACGCTGCCCTCGTCGAGCCTCCTCGGGGCGTTGCGGTGAACCCTGTCGATGTCCTCGCCCGCCCCCCTACAGTCAACCCGCATAGCAAAGATGGACAACCTTCCCAAGGGGTATACCCTTGCATCCTTGCCTCTCCTCGGCCCATATTTGGCCACCTTGGCTGGCCGCGCCCCGCTCGAAAAGCTGCGAAGGGACCTTCCAAGGCCCTGGCATCCTGAGCGTGGGTCCTTATCATACGTGTCCCAGACCCCCGACGGTTTTTTTTCGCAACCTCGACCCCCAGAGGTCTGGACCCCTTCCCCGGGACCAGTTTCTCATCCGGAGTCGTGTTTTGACTGTCCCGAGGCCCGGCCAGGGCCCCGGGGAACCCTCTCCTCCTTTTCCTCCTCCTCCTCCTCCTCCTCCTCCTCCTCCCTCCTCCTCCTCCTCCTCCTCCTCCTGCTCCTCCTCCTCTTCCTCCTCAACCTCCCGTCGTGATTTTTTCGCAACGCGAGGTGGTCTGGGGTTGGCTGCAGCGTGCGCGTTGCGAACCAGCCCCCTTTGCAGACCACACCCCTCGGAGTCGCCGAACGTCCACGGCGCCGGCGCGTTCCCGTGGGCGGACGGCGCGGGGGGGCAACGTCCAGAGGGGGGGGGGGGCGGGCTCAGGGGCGGACGCCTCGGCCCGAGGAGGGCCAGTTTCGGCGGCGAGCGAGGGGGGAAGGGAGAAGGAGAGGGCCTCTCAGAAGGCGGCGGGGCTTCCCAGAAGCCCTCGCCGCCTTCTGAGGGGTTTTCGGCGCCTTCGGGGAGGGCTCAGAAAGCATCTCAGAAGGCCAGGGGACTTCCGAGCCGTCTGAGAATCCGGAGGGGAAGAAACACACAGACACAATGAATCGTCGACTCCCAAGAAAATATGGGGAAATATGGGAAGTGGTGGGGAAGACAAACGCCCGGGAAATATGGGAAAATATGGGGAATCTTTTTATTTGTGTGTATTTGTTTGTGTGTCCTGGGGCCCCTTCAGAGAAGGGCCTTCTCCTTCTCACTTCTTCCTCGTCGCTCGCCGCCACCAGTCGAGTCGACGAGAGGTGGCCTTCGGGGGCCCCTCGTCGCCACCGCTGGGCGCGGCTCGTGGAACTGGTGCGCCCGGGCCTCGGGAGAGGTCGGGGGACCGATCTTAGGGGAACGAGGGGAACGAGGGGAATGAGGGGAACGAAGAATTTTAGGGGAACGAGGGGACCGATTTTAGGGGAACGAGGGGAACGAAGAATGACATAAACATCAAAACTCGGAGGTCCGCGCGGATCCGAGAAATCCGCGCGGACCTCCGAGTTGTTGTGTGTGCTCCAGATTTAGTAATAAAGGGAGGGGGGTATTTCGGGTGGGTCTTTCCAGGCTATCTTGGAGGGACGGGGGGGTTCTGGGGACGAGTTTTGGAGGGTTCTCCCACGGGGGGGTCTGAAAATGGCTTGTCTTGGAGGGCCAGGACCCCCCTCCTTTATTAAGAAATCTGGAGATAAACATAAAAACTCGGAGGTCCGCGCGGATCCGAGAAATCCGCGCGGACCTCCGAGTTTTCGTGTTTCTGTCATGTCTCGTTCCCCTATAGATTTGGGACTGCCGTCGTCTCGACTCGCCCTGCTCGGGGATCGACACCACAGCGCCCACATGCTCGCCTGAGAGCCCCTCCCGCCCAGGAACTTGGGAGGCGACGACTCATTGCGTCTGTGTGCTTCCTTCCCTCCTGAGGGAGGGGGGGGTCCGGCGCCGATCCAAGACGTCAGCGCGGACCTCCCTGCTTTTGCCACCGGGAACGCCCGCCCCAGGAGCGTGCGGATTCGCTATTGGGTGCCTCAGTCAAGGCGCTGAAATAAGGCACAGTTTGGATATTCGGAAGGGGCTCGATGTTCCTTAGGTTCCTCCAGTGCTGTTCCTCTTGCCCTCCTGGGGCACGGAGGCGCTTACGGGGCCAAGAAGGGGCTTCGTTCCGTATTTAGCGTTCCTTCTTTCAGCGGCCCGACTGTATCGCCGATCTATCGGCAATGTATCTCAAGCAGTGGTGAAGCGTCCCGGCGTGCCTATAGGCCTACCAAGTAATGTTCTAAGAACTTGTTGTGGTTTCCACGGCATATTCTTAGAACATTTCTGGTTGGGACTGTCTTGTTTCTACATATCGGGAATATGTTTTAAAGATCCGCGCTTTCGTTCTTAGAACACTTCTGGGTTCTAGGAACATGTCTTGGTAGGCCTAAGGCAGTGCTGGGACGGTCGGTCCCTGCTCAAGTATCGCCGATTCCAGGTCGATGTTCTTCCGCCCTCAGGACGTCGCGGGCCGGCGGTGGCTGCGAGTGGAGGTGCTGCTCTTCGTCTCGACCACGGACGGCTGCGTGCGGATGACCACCTACGGCAAGACTGCGGACGTGCGGCAGTACTACTCCCACGCCCTCACGCTGCCTGAGGCCCACCTGCTGCAGTGGAGGTGCGTGGTGCCGGCAGCCGGCTCCGCAGCGCCGCGCGGCTACGCCGCGCACGCGTTCTCCCCCTACGGCTACGACAGCATGCTCTACTGCGACGTGCCGGCCAACGGGGAGCGAAGCGATCGCACGAGCAGCAGTTTCCGGATCCCCGCGCGCATTTGTCGATCGAGCAACGAAGACAGAGTAGTGTACGGCGGTGTTGAGTGTTTCGCGGTGGTTTCTCTTTTCCAGCCCCTGGCGTCGCTCGGACGTGTGCATCTTTCCTTCGGCGAGGACCCTCGAGGAGCATCCTTGACCACTTGCCGAAAAAACCACGCACGAAACCGAAGAAGACACAAGGAATGGACGCCCGAGCGATGGCCAGTGTCGATCTAACAGCGAAGACAGAGTATTGCACGGCGGTGTTGAGTTTTTCGCGGTGGCTTCTCTTTTCCGGCCGCGGCCGCGGCTGCAGTCGCCCCCTGGCGGCGCCTCCGCTGGCGCCGCCCCCGGCGCGCGCCACGCGCCGCGGAGTGGAGGGGCCCAGGGACACACAAATAAGGACACGCACAAATCACAGGGCTCCCCAGATTTAGCCATATGTTCTCAGTTTTTGTTTCCCCCCCCCCCACGTCCCATATTTTCCTATATCTTTTCCCGGGGGTCCACGACTCACTGTGTCTGTGTGTTCCTTCCCTTCCTGAGGGAGCGGGGGGGTCCGGCGCCGATCCAAGACGTCAGCGCGGACATCCCTGCTTCTGCCGTTTTCTTCTCGGTGGCGGAATTTTTTGGGTCGCGGCCGCAGGCGAGAGCGCAAGCGGCGAGTTGTAAAACCGGGGCGCAGGCCTACTAATTGACAACAAGCAAACTAGAGCCGCGCACCTAAACTACCTCAACCATCGGTGGCGGAACACGGTGTGGCACGATTTTGTTGCCGCCGTCGGGGACGCGTGCCCCAGGGCGGTTGGAAAGCTTCTGCGCAATCTTACCAGCCTGGAACATATCCTTATCCCTATACTGGGCACCTCCTCATCACGATGCCAATCTTAGGGGTTCCCTCTTTTTTTTTGAGGGCGAATCTCTAAGATTGTCATCGCCTTTTGGCGTGTCAATCTTAGGGATAGGGATACGTTCGAGGCTGGTAACAATCTCAAGCAGTGGCGGAGCGTCCTGGCGCGCCTACAGCCCTACCAAGCAATGGTCTGAGAATTGATTTTGTGGTTTGCGCGGACTGTTGTTAGAACGTGTACGGTTGATATTGCCTTGTGCTGACACATCGGGCTAATGTTCTGAGAACTAGGTTTTTGTTCTTAGACCATCGTGGTAGGACTATAGGAATGCCGGGACGGTCGGTCCCTGCTCAACGAACGTGGCACCGTAGGGGTTTACACTCTGCGTGCCCGACGGCGGGCGGGCGGGCCGGGCGGTGGCCCTGCACTCCCCCGACGGGTGCCCCGAGGAGGGTGGAAGGCCGATGGCCGAGGTCTGTCGGGGCGCATTCCGGAGGGCAGGACTATAATCGAGGGGTGGACAGAACCCCCAACAGTGACACGTCGATTAGTGAATTGTCCGTCTTCGGTTTTCGAGAGGGCGCCGCGGCCGTCATTTTCCAGGTCTGCGCCCGCCAGGTTTGGGCCCGAAGTCGTTTTCACTAAACCACGTTTTACTAAAGGGAGGTCTGTCCATCCCCGAAAAATCGAGGGGGGGCGACTGCAGCCCACGCGCCCCGTGGGGGCGCGCG